AAAGCGCCAAAGCAAGTCAAGCAAGTGTAGTAATTAACACAAAACAACTGGAAACAATGTGTGTGGAAATCAGGTAGTTAAAGCGGTACTGATAAAGGGAAAATTAAGGTCTACGTAAAGGGAATAAGAGTCATGAATAACACACTGCGAAGATAATTCATTCCTTTTCAAATAAAATATTTTCAAGAAGAACGTCCCCGCACTCATCCATGGAATTAATTCTTCCAAACTAATACCATTTTCCAACACATAGCATAGATAATTATTAAATTACATTTCCCTTGACTTTGTGTCGTGTGAATAGAAAAAAGGAAAGGCATCGTACATGAGTAAAACCATTCCTGACCATATGGATATGGGTAACAAAACTTTAAGCTATTACCAGTTTTAAATTAGGAGGTAATCTTGGATGCATTGGGTTGGTATCTACAAGAGAGGATAATGGACAGAGAGGGAAACCCCCAGTGTAGCCCTTGGTGAATTTCACCAAAGTTATTTTTATATCAATCAAACCCTTGAAATTCATGCGAGGTTGGTTTTCGGAGACGTCCTCAGTTTCATTTAATTATGAGAAATAATGCGGCATTATGTTCTCTTGGTGTGTCGGTATTAAAATATTCGGCATTGTTTGCTTTGACGCAGTCGCGCGTGGACTCGACGACGTTTCAAACAATCGATTGAAACATTTAGACGTCTTAGGAATCAGACTCTAAAAATAACTTTAATTTGTTAATAATTTATATATCCTAGTCACCTAATCCGATTGCCTCTCTGTCCAATTATTCACTCTCGATATCTATCATTATCCTGTTGGTCGACTTAGTTCAGTATGTTTGATTCTATTCCGGGACTGTTCGTTTAACAAACCACATTCTATCTCAGCACTCAGAGTCTCATTCCAGGGAAATATGAGGTTCTGGGTTCCTTAAAATTAGTGTAACCGGTGGTATTTCAAGTTTAATGTAAACGAATTGAGTGGACAAATGAAGATTGAGGCTGTAATTTACCACTATTGGTAATCTGGGAAAGATCATAATCTGCATCGTCAGCGGTCACTTTAGGTGTACTTTGAAAATGTCCCATAAGGCGCGGTTAAAATGGAATTATAGGTAGGACAGTGTAGTGGCCAAGCCCCGGGTGACGCTGCCACCGGTTGGAAATCAGCGTCCCGGATAACGACTGACGAAGTATTTAGGCCCCAGTCCTAATAAGGGAGTCTCAAATACTCTTTGGTGCTGATTCACTAACTTTCCTACGAAGAGCATATAGAAATATAGAAAATGTAACATGTGAAAGCACACGGTTTAGAGGTATTTTTTGATCATTTAGATTAACTTCCCTCTTAGCTTTTGGAATCGAATTATTTGCCTTAAGTTGGAGACATGGAAGCTGAATATCTTGCAATGAGCATGATAATAACATTTTTGGTGATTTCAGTAGGTAGAGCATTAGTTCAACTTGAAACAAATTGGCCCAAGTTTTTCATTTTTCAATTTGTGTCCATCCTTGACATCTGTTCCAATAGCATCGGGTGAAAGCTTAACAGCCTCTAACATATGGTCTTGTAACCAATTTGCAGCAAGTATAAATAGCAAAATGTAGGGTCAAGGTCTACTAAAACTTGCTGCAACAAAGATGTTGCTTTTTTTAGCAGCGTTCTTAAGACTGATCTTACAATTTAGATCTAGAGTTGTCTTTAAAATTGAAAAATGGGAAAAATAAGGTCCTAATACTAAAAATTACTGGCCTAGATTGTAGTTAATCGGACATGCGTTTCCATGATCTATTATTATGACTTCCTTTCACTAATTTATTTTTTCAGAGAAAACAAGACCTTAATTTTCCTAAACTTGTTTGGTGGTAATGAAAGAAGTGTTCTTTTCACCTGTTGTATAGTAGCAAAGAATTGGAAAGGAAACAAAAAAAAGGACGAATCAGCTCGAAATAGAAGGAATGAAGCCCTGTGACGACAGGCTATAACGATAACCCTAAACATGGTACATGCTGCTTAATACATCAAAATTAGATATAATTAACTCCTTCTCAGGAAATATCTGTCCATATTTCGGCTGTATGCACAAGGTATGCATGCGTACACAAAAGCATTTTTCATTAAGGGCCTTTCGCCTTAACTTATTCCTCTGGATGTGAACCAGTCAGAATAAAATACCCATTTTTATACGTAACATGACCTGGTATGAAGGAACCACGTTTACAAGTCACAGCACAAAGTTTGTGGCTGCCTGAACGAGAAACTGCATATCGAGGAAAAAGGAAATAAAAGTCATCATCACTATCAAGTTTTTTCACGTGCACCGTAGCTCTATTGATCAGAACCTTTCACCAAGCATGACAAAAGAAACTTACGATTGACTTTTTTTTTTTTTGTAAACAGCCACCACGCCTCGACAACAACAACAACAACAACAACATCTTTATTTCTTAGATTAAATATACAAATATCACACCACCTGCAAATAGCAAGGCTAATCGAGGCAGGTGGTGTGTAGACGGCTTAAGATTAATTACGAATAGTTGAAGTGAAAAAGTACCATATTTATAATAAAAAAGGTCAGTCACGAGAGAAATTGAGATAAGAAAATCGAGGCAGCTATTTAGATAAGCGGGGGCTAATATTTTTTAAAATCGGAGATTATCGTGTTTAG